TCTTAAGGGCGCTCCAGCCCTTCCTCGCTCTGTCCCATTCCCCCCACCTGTTTCTTCTTCCAGCCCCTCTTTAGTTCCACCTTTATAGCCAGACGCAGGCGATTGCTCGGGGCTTCTCATTGAATCCCGTTTCATGAGAGCCCGGGGTCCTGCTGCGTCTGGCTCCGTTATGGTTTTAGTTTGCTGTTCCTGATTCCCTGTCTCGCCGGTCCCGACCCGGTTCTGGTTTTTAGTTATTTCGGATGGATACCCTGGTCTTGGACTTCGCCTCCCATTTTGGATTTCCCTTTTTGGATTTATGCTTGGATTGTTTGCCCCGGACTCACTTCCCCTGGACACCTGCTCACCTCGGAAACGCCCCCCTGTCTCCTGACCGACTACTGCATGTTATTTTCCCTATTGTTTCTTCACCTTTCGGATCGTGTCATTCGCATACGGACCGGAAAGAATTGTTTCCTGACAGTTCTTGTGTTGGGTAACCATATCCCCTGCAAAAGGATGCATCGCAACTTAGGGGCCTGGCTTCAGTACTTGTACTCTTTCAGAAGCCCCCTTCAAACCACTTTCATCAGAGGACATACAGAATTTGTTGTTTAGAAGCTGCCTTTCTCATAATAATTACTTCAGACAGTAATGTGTGGGAATTCTGTCTTGAATATTAGTCTATCTGTGGCAATGCTGTAGCCCAATTCAGCTTTCATGCCAAACATTGGGATAGATTTTCATCTCAACTGACCACTGACACTGGTTGCCTTCGGTTCCCCTCCACAGGAAAGTCTATATCAGACAACTCACCTCATGTGCCTTTTTGGAGCTCTGTGTAATGTGGCAGGTGGACAACTGCATTGCCAATTGGAATATTTCTGGCCTATGAGTCCTCCTGCTTTCTGCTTGGCCTTGAAGCCCATTCCACTAGAGCCATATCAACTCAGGCCATCTTCAGTGGTGCATGTTGGGAGGGCCTTTGCTAAGAGGCCACCTTCTACACTTGTCCAGTTCCAACTTGTCCAGTTCCCATGTGGATGGGCTGCACTTGGACTCACCCCTCTGATCACGAAAGCCAGAGCACTGTTGTCCCCAGTTGGTTATGAATCCATTTTGAATTGAAATGGAATGACGGGCAGATTTTTACAATCTTGGTTCTCTGAAAGAAGTGATTACCCTTCCACTTTGATCCCCACTGACCTCACGGATACATTCAGCAAACTAATGGCAACGATCTGCTATGCAGCTCAGCCTCATAGGAAAGGGAGGTTCTGGGCCTGGCTGAAAGAGTAATAGTTGGGCCTCTCTGATACACAAGCTCAGAGCCAAAGCCACAGCCATAATGAAAAAACCTACCATTCTGAAACAATTGACAGATGAAAGACCCAAACAACATTATGAACACAAAAATCTATATATGGTTTGATCAAACACTATGTAAAGACTTATGTCCTCAGAAACCAGTGATTAGATTTTGAGATTTTCAAGGATTGACAGGTTAGGTGTGCTAGATCACAGTTATTGATTCCTTTTTCTCTGTCCTCCAATCTCAAGCTCCCTGTTCTATATCATCCATCTCCTCGGTGCACTAAACAGTGACCTATCTGCTCAACTTTGCATCCTCATTGTTTCACTCCTTTGCACCGATCGTTCGCCCTCCCCTTAGCGCTGACCCTGCCTGTCCATCTTGTGGTCCATTACCTCACTCATCGCGTGTTCTTGATTCACAGTGAAATTCAGGTGTCCTGAACAATTACCAGGGTAATCAGACACAGTCCAACCCTGGACTGTATGGTTTCACAAAAAAAAATAGTTAAAATACAGAACCATAAAATAAACACTATTACCTTTACTCCAAAAATTATCATAAGAATTACAGTTTCATAAATCAAGTCTTTCATTACGGCAATAAACAGAATTTCTCAAACACATAATCCACTAATCCAGAAATTGTTCATTAATCCAAGACAAAATACATTGGTTTGTCTGCTTTGTTAATACTAATGCATGATAACAAACCAATATTTCCATATAAAACATCCCTGATGAAAGCACAGGCTTCTACTTTGTGTATGCTTTTGAAAAAGAACTCTTACCCTAGATAAACATTAATGGCAACACCTATTTATCAATCAGTTACGCTGCAATAACCATTGAGGAAGCTTTATGGTTACTCAAGTTTTATAGTTCATGAACAGATAAAAATACACTGAAAGTCGAAGATCGGCGACTTTGATAATTCTGATAATTAGCTTTAATATTCCAAATCGAAAACGGATTTGAAAATAGCTCGAATCTCCCGATAAAGAAGCTAAACCCACAAAACACAGAAGCAATGTAGAAGTAGCAATTATTCTGCATGTTATAACTGGGAATCATCTGTCATATAGAGTACAGAGTGCAAGGGCGGACTTTTAAAAACAGGTGCGCTAATTAATGATTGGCTATGCATCCCAAAGTTGCTGGTCCGGTAAATTCTCAGAAGATTGGTACTTAAAGTTGAAACAGCTTGTGAAACAAATGCAATAAGAATATTCACTTTTGTTTTTTTTTAAATTAATGGATGAAAAATTAAAGTGAATGAAACGGGTCATCCCCGCCAAAAAGCCTCGCTTTGCCTTCTCCAAAACGTTGCAAGGTTTAATTTCGGTGCTGCTTATGCATTGTTCCTCATTCAAAATTAGATTCGTCCATACTGTTCTTCCACTTTGTACCCTGCTGTTCCGTTAATTGGTCTATTATGTTAAAAATAATTTTACAGCATGTCTCTTATAGTATCAATTGAAACTCAGCTTTGCAGCACATCACTAGAATGGCGAGGAAGGTCAACTCTTCGCTTTATTTAAATTCAGTGACAAATTATTTTTCAGTGGCTTCTTGAAGTTAGCGTAAATGTATTTCTTGCGAAACTCACGCATTTCATTCCGACATGCAGCACAAATGTGTACTTTTACACCAGATAGCAATAAACAGTATACCAATGTCAGTGTTGTCCAATGACAAAATGCAAAAGCTCTCGCTCGTCTTCGGAAAGCCAATCCTGGTCTGTCGCTGTGGAGCTTTTTTATTTTTCACCAAGGCATAGGCAGCCGGCTTTTTCCGTACCGAGTAGTAACATTTGAACAGCGAGTCGTCTGTTTGTGCTGGAGAGACGTGCACGTCAACTGGGTTTTAGGTGTGAAATCCAAATCTGCTACTGCGGAGACAGCGTTCAAAACAAACTATTTCCAAATGGATACGGCTAATCAGGTAATGAGACGGCTGTCTTTTTATGTGTTTTCTGTTTTTACAATTTTATCAAAATGTATTTTGAAATTTTGCAAACTTAAAATTTTGTCGTTTTTTTAAATAAATGCACTATTCTTTTTTTTATTATTATTTTAGCTGGTTTCTACCGGGAGGTTTGGTATAGCGAAGGAGCCTCTTGGATTTATGCGCGCTTTGGAATGGGTAAGTTCGGTGCTGTGAAGAAACATCAGTTTCCTTGTTTATTTGTGTGCAACCAATGAGCTGACTCTTTATGAAGTAACGTAGGCTCACTCCAATAAAGCGAATATTTTTTTGTGTTGTTGCAATGTTAATGAAAACATTCCCTGTAGTATCTATATGTTGCCTTTCAATGTACTCACAATTTAATATTTGTATACATCGGAGCGCGCGGCAATTTTGCGTTGGATGTTTTACACAAATAATGCCTTTTGTGCGGGCGTGCGAAACGGGCTATCTTTAGGAGTCCCTGTATTTTGGCTTTATGGTATTTTGATTTTTGCTCATATTGTAAAACTGATTTGGTCATTATTTTATGAAAGACCTATGACTCCTAGTTCTGGTCAGTGCATTGAATATTTAATTTAATATGACCAGGTGGTTAAGGATTTTAACAGATTAATGCGATTTGTTTTCATTGCAACTGATCAGAACGAACTTCGAAACTGTGAGATACACTTTTTAGAAGGGAAAATATATTTTAAATTGATTATTGCTGAAGGTTTGAAATAATGTGTCTTTCGGTTTCAGTATTTAGAAATTACTAGGAACATCTTAAGAAAAATAGATGAGAGGGAACACGCTGTTTTAAACCTAGTGGTCACTAAGGAGTCAATTGTAAGTATTTTCAGCCATTCAGAATAACTGAGATTTCCTTAACAAGTACAAATAAGTGATTTTTTTGCGCTTTTTAAGACGATTTATAATTGTTAAGGTAAGTGAAGAAGAACGGAACTCCTGTTGAGGCGGAGTCTGAATTTCAAGGTTTCTATTTTTATTGTTCAATATGATGATTTCAATTAAGTCTTTTAAGACAAACAGTTATTTTTTGTACATCATTGTCTGGTTTCTTGAAAGCACATACTGTAAAAAAACAATTCTTGTCATAAATGTCATTGCCTAGAAACTTGGCTAACCTCGATGATCTTCTGCCTGTGTGGGGCCAATGCGGAGCTTTGGCAATGCGATTTGAAACAGTTTCTCTGGTAGAGGCGGCCAACGATGGGTGAAACAGTATTGCTTATTAGTATGATTGTTATTCGCAGTGATATTTGCGGGTCAGCTGACAGATACCGCCAGTAGGTCTTAAGCACCATCTGTATGTTAAAGATAGCCTTGATGTTGAGTCCGTGGAGTGTCATTTAAAATTATTCATATGGAACAAGAGCAACATTCATTTTCATTTGTATCATTTTTTGCTACCGAAAATACAAAGTACAGTATTTGACTTTGCATATGGAGGACTGAGACAAAAACAACTGCACAGATTTTTCGTTTTATGCAAATTAAAAAGTCAGATTCCGTACGTAGCAATTTAGAGGCCGTTTGAATGTTTTGTGTTTATTAGGTGAAAATGAGGTTCTTTTGAAACAGAACACAAAACCCCTGAGGTCTGTTATTGGGTCTCTCTCTCTCTTTTCTGGTGTTGCCGGCCAGGAACAGTAATAAGTAGCTGAAGTGATCCAGCAAGCCTCAAGGTGGAACAGTGTCAGGAACGTCACGCATTTCACATGATGAGAGCTGTCGGCGAATATTATTACGCATAGAATCTTGAATCTAGACTATGGCAAAGCATCTAATACGTTTTGGCAATTGTTAATCTAAAAGGAAAAAAAAATTGATGGTCAATTAACTTAAAGTGATTTTCACACCCATTATTGGTAAATACTGTACGTACAAGAAACAAACATCTCAAGCATGCAAATACTCATTTACACACTGGCTTAACATGGTTCTCTGTTCACTGATAAACTTTAAAGTCTTTCTTCTTCTCAGATTTTGCATGCTGACAGAATACAGTCATTCTGGTTTTGTGCCAGTAAACTGAACATATTCACCCAAATGCAGCGATACATGTAATGTTAATCTCATTCAATTTAAAGGAATAAGTTTAATTAAGTTAAGCTGTATTAGTTGCTGTCCTGTTTACAGTATGTTTCACATGTTGCAGTGTTTCATGAGTATACTGGAGCTGTATAATGTGATAGTATACTGTATATTGCGTATACTAATACAACTGCCTGTATACTAATACAACACTGGAAATTGTGTTTTATAGGAAAATAGCAGCAAAAAATTGTGGTGTGCTCAATTGATTGATAAACATAAGCAAATGTTATTCATAATTATGCACTATCAAGCAGCCAGTAGTCCTTTGTTTGTGAAATATTTTGCATAAAACCGATTTAACAGTGCTTTTTGTCTATACTGTATATTTGCACAGTAATTACCACATTGCTGGCGTGTATACTGTGCATTGAGGATTAGGACTGATGCTTAACAATCAAATACAATACCGATTCATGTTGTTCTTAATTGATGTGTCCCTGAGTTATATAAATGTAAAAAGTAAAAATCCTGGCACCAATTTAAAATATCAGATAAAACTCCCCCCTATTATCAGAAATGAAAATGACCTAGCATATCACATGGTTTCTTTGTTTGAGAGTGTGATGCCCAATGTAGTGAGGAGGCACACACTTAAGAGACTCATATTTATGTAAATAACTAAACACTAAATACAGAACATGAACACAAACTCTTTACAGTCATGGCAAGTTCTTTAATTCAGGATTCCTTCAGTACAAAGCTGCCTTAGCTCATCCCCTTAAAGATGGATAAACATTTTACACACAACAGATTAAAGAGGCAATTCTGTTTTTTATTTTTGTTTTGAATTTTGAATCATGCATTATGTTTTTGTTAACTGAGTTCAGGACAGCCAATTGCATGGCTATCACCCAGTGTTCACATGGCTACTAACATGGCAACTTCACATGGGGAAGAATGAGGAAATTCTCCTCTGACCCAGCCACCTTGGACACATCAAGGGCACCACAGCTTCAATCAGGAGGCTTAACTTTGATTAGAGGAGAGTCCATTGATAACCAGACTGTGAGCCTATGAGCACACAGGCTGCAGGGATCACTGTCACCAGTCATCACCATGCCAACCAATCCCGCCCTTTCCTCTTTGGCCTTTAGCCAATTGTGCACCACCACTTGGGGAAACCTGGTCACAGATGGGTAAATGCACCAAAAAACACCCTTGTCTTCTCTCTGAAAGTGATGTTAAATTATGAGAACTGTTCTATGAACAAAACAATGCATCCCAGAGACACAGGCTCTGCCTGATGGATAATACATCTTCCTTTAGAAAAGAAAAGCACAGTCTGTAATATCATTTCAAGTCTCTTCAGTGCTCAAAAATGCATTTTACATTTCAGTTCTTATAGAGCAGACATATTACTGGAGCTATGGTATGTTTGAAGGATGAGCTTACTTGTAGTGTCCTGGCTCTGCAACTGCAGAGGATGAGTCAGTAAAACATGGTTGATCCTACTTCTGATAGATTATGCTGGTCTTCCTGGATTGGCCAGTCACCCCTTAGCTTGCTGTTTTATTATCATGATTAGGCATCTTTTCCAAAGATCTCCACTTAATTGTACCTCTCACAAAAAAGGGGACGAGGTTCTGTATATATGGCTGGTGTTAGCACTAATTTTCTGTAATTGCAGAGAACACCCTAAACAACCCCCTGTCTGACCTCGAGGCTCTCCGACCTGCATAGCTGTCTAAATGTACTGGAGCTACTTAGCAGGTGGCCTCCTTAGGCCACATGTGTCCCTGGTTACTTGCCTATTATTTACAAGATACCTGTATTGACTAAGTGGTACAGAATGTTTGACTTTCCGCATCTCTCAGGCAGAGGCAGGGGCATTTTTGTTATTTACAACCTTTATAACAATTTAAGTCCTATTACTATACTGTACTTCCTCCCTCGTCTTTTGAGTGCCTTGTTTTAAATGTCTATCCCCCAATCTACTGTCATTGCCACAGTCTATAGGCCACCCTAACCCAGCAAAGGCTTTTTTGATGAGTTTGCTGATTTACTCTTATTTTTATGCCTTAAGTTTAAAAAGATCCTTATTCTTGGGGACTTTAATATACACATTGACTCAAGGTCTTCCAGTCAGGCTAAAAATTTCCTTTCCTTTCTCTATTGGGATGCTTTGGTCTTATTTAGTTTGTTTGTAGCCCTAAACATAACAAATGACACAGGGCAAAGGATTTAACTATTGCAAATGACTCTTTTGTCTCCCACTGCTCTTCCTTTAAACTAGGCCTCTCTGGCCACTTAGCTACTGTATTCTCTTTACTCTGGAATTACCTGTTTCTAACACTTCCCCCTCATACTCTGTAAATTTCCGCAACTGGCGATCAATTGATCATCCAAGGTTTGCAAATTCTGTTCTGTCCTCCTTATCTTGTTTCTCTTCCCCTGACCCTCCAGTGCATTGTTCTCAAACTTTTTGGACCAAGTACCACCCCTGATCAAACCAAAGCATCCAAGTACCACCTACAGTACAAGTCATCTTCTCATAGGAACCACAGAAAATCTCAATGACCAACATGAGCACACATTCACATACAGTACAGTACACATATAATAAAAATAGCACTAAGCACTTACCATTTCAGTGAGAAGGGTGAGCCTGTTTAGTCGAGCAAAGCAGATGTGAATTGTATAAAGGCTCAACCAATGAATTCACAACTTTGACAGCAGAGTCTAACAGATTTTAAATCCTCAGGCATTTTCTTGACTGCCAAGGCCTCACGGTGGATGCTGCAGTGCATCCACTTCTTATCTGGAGCAACGTCTCTAATTCATGCAACTACACCGCTGTGTCTGCCTGTCATCGCTCTAGCACTGTCTCTACAAACTCTGATGCATTTTATGCAGTCGATACCATTCTCTTCAATAAATTCATTCAGAAGCTGAAATATGTGCTATCCTGTATTTCTTGTTGGTAGTGGCTTACAGAATGGAAAGTCCTCATGGGATATGCCCTAAAACATATATCTAATGTAAACAAGCAAATTGGCCAAATCAACGACATCTACAGACTTATCTAATTGCAGTGAAAAGCATCTCCTCATCTTAACACACTCTATCAACGTACT